CTACTTACATTCTGTAGGACCAGAATACCAACACCAGATAATGGCATGTGAGACCAGAAAATTACAGACCAAGCTTACTCGTATACTTAGATACCAAAATTCCATATAAATTATTAGCAAATCAAATCCAGTGACAGATATTTATTTTAAAAAGAAAGAAAAAAAGGTTATCAGGACCCATTTATCCCAGAAATGCAAAGGTAGTTTAGCATTAGAACAAATCTGCATCGTTCATCACATTAACAGAGTGAAGCAGCAAAACCAAATGCTCATTTCAACAGATGCACAAGAACATTTGACAAAATACAATAATAACACGCAATTTAAAATATATTTTTGGTGAAGTAGAAACGGAAGGGAACTTCCTTAATCTAAAAAGGATACATACTAAAAACCTGTTGCAAACATAATTAATGGTAAAATGTTAGAAGCAGTCCTTTTAAAATCAGGACCAAGATATAAAGATGTCTATTGTCATTGCTTCCATTCAGCATTATACTGGAATCCTAGACCTACAAGTCAAGAACAAAATTTTAGAATATAAAATTTGAGGTCCTTCCCAGGTTGCCTGGGACTGGGGAGATGTGAATCAATTAATTAATCAATTAATTTCATTTAATAATTAAATGAAAAAAATATATATATATATTACTTGACGTGGAAAAAAGCAAAAACTCCATCCTTCATAAGTGACATAGACAACACCTAACATTTACAGCTGTATTATTGGAAATAATGAGAGTTTAGCAAGATGGCTGTACACATAAAATAGAGAATACCTACCCACTATCATGAATACATGCCAATTCCCCTCAGACCAATTTATGGATCCTCTGTGGTTCCAATCAAAAGCCAAACAGGGACATTACTAAACTTAATAAGCTGATTCCAAAAATTACACAGAAGAGCAAAGAATAAAGCATAATTAAGACACTCCTGAAGACTAAGGGTAAAAAAGGGAGGGAACTGTTCTACCAGATAGCAACTCTTATTATAAAATAATAATTATGATAATGTAGTAATGGCACAGAACTAAACAAAATGACCAGAGGAACAATAAAAAGGCTAGAATCTGACCCATGCAGAAATAAGTTTTTTTTAAAACGATAACAAATTGCAAATAACAGAAAAAGAGTATTCAATAAATGATGTCAAAAGTATGGATATCTATGTACAAAAATAGAAAACAGATCTCTATCCCACACATACACGAAAATTAATTCCCAGTGGACGAAACACAAATATAAAAGACAAAATTTAAGTGTTTGTATGCATGTGTGTGTCCGTAGAGGAAGGAAAAGATTTTCTAAAACAAGACTTAAAAAAAGCACTACATATCATATAGCACAGGGAACAATAGTAATCTATAATGAAAAAGCATATGAAAATGAATATATGTATGCTATATATGACTGAAACATGATGCTTTACACCAGAAATTGACAGAACATTGTAAACTGACTATACTTCAACAAAAAAAGGAAAAATAAAAATGTAATAAAAAAGCACTGTATAAAATCAAAGGTAAATGAATTCCACCACATTAATACTAAAGCACTCATTGAAAAGAAGCACTATTAAAGAAAAAAAGACAAGACACAGGATGGGAGCAGATGTCTGCAACACATAACCAATGAAGGTTCATATCTTAAAATAAGACATTTAGAATCTTTACATTGACAACCCAATTGAAAACTGGACAAGAAGAATTTCAGAGGAAGAAAAACGTTAACAGAAGTAAATACATGAAAAGACATTTAATCCCATTGGTAATCAGGGAAATGCAATTTAAGATCACAATGACATACCATTTTATATCACTAATTTAGCAAAACGAAGATGTCTGATAACATCAAGTGTTGCCAAGGATATGGATCAATGGGCATTTTCATACACAGATGGAGTATAAATAGGAACAAGTACTTTGGAAAACAATTTGGCATTGTCTACTAAAGGTGAAAATACACATATTCCAATATCCAGCAATCCCACTTCTAAGCACATACCTTGGGAAACTCCCATAGAGCCACTTATACAAGAATGTTCAAGAAAAAGAAAAAAAAATGTTCGTAGTAGCACTGTTCATAATAGCAAAAAACTGGAGACACCCAAATTTCCTTTAAAAATATATTGTTATATACACAGAAGGCAACATTATACTACAATGAAACTGAATGCACTGTAACTACATGCAATGCTACAGATAACCTTAAAAATAAAACACTCCATGAAAATTCAAGTTGGCCACATACTACATTTTTATAAAGTTCAAAAGTAAAGAAACTTAGCAGTAGACTGTAAAGTGAATCAAACACAAGCAATAACTTTTTTTTTAATTCAAGGACAGAAAAAGCAAAATTCAGAACAGTGGTTATTTCTGTGGCAAGACAGGGACAAGGAAAAAGCACACAGGTATAGAAAACAGTACTGGTAATGTTCTAAATAAGGGTTTGGCAAACTATAGCCCTTGGGCCAAATACAGCCTGCTAACTATCTGTAAATAAAGTTTTATTGAAACTCAACCATGTACATTCAGTTATACAATTGTCTACGGCTGCTTTCTTGCTACAACAGCAGAGCTGAGTAGTTGCATGACTGACAAAAACTAAAATACTTACTATCTAGTCCATTATGGAAAAAGTTTGCCAATTCTAGTTCTAGATAGTAAGTTGGGTAGTGGGTTGATGATGTTCATACAGTATGTTTTATACCTTACATGTATACATTATGTGTATTATTTCTTATATGTAATACTTTTGCATTCTTTTGGATATCTAATAGCATATTTAAAAATTTAATGGCAGCTCATTATTTTAATTTGCTTTTATTTTTTATATCACTAGTCAGACCAAATTTTCTCTGTATTTGTTCTTCAGCTGATTTCCTTTTCCACGATCTACTAGGGGCATTTATCTTAGAATACAGTCACTCTTCAGCAAGTAAATAAATACACTATCCTTACATGTACTATGAGAACTGAAATATTTTCTCCAGTTTGTTTGCCATTTTTAAAATATGTATAAGATTAATTATTATGTATTCAAACTTATAGCACTTTTCCTTGATAATTTCTTTTATTCCTTCTAAAGAGTCCTTCCCCAATTCCAGAGGTTTAATAAAATTAACTTTTTCCCCATGCTTTAAATTATGTAATTTGAATTTATTTATGGCTTATAAGTTGAAATCTTTGTGAGATTTTTCTCTAAATAGTAACATGTACTTCTAATCTCCACTGATCCCCATCCCATCTTAAATAACTGATCAAGCATAAGATCTCAAGATATTAAAAAACAATTTAAGTTTTTAAATCTGTCCTACCTAAGTAAATGGGTAACATTCTAAATCTAAATAGTCTTAATTCTATAGTCTCCTCAGGATGGCGCCAAAGTATGGACTATATCAACTTTAAAAAGGGATTAATCCCCACATTGATTAATGGCTTTAAATATGATAAAGGTGACATTTCAACCTGTGGGGGAAAGTCGGACTATTCAATAAACACTGCTGAGACAAATGGGTAGCCATTTGGAAAATAAGCTGGATCCAAATTGGATTGTAAGTTATAAAGTGAAAAATGGAACCACAAAATTTTAATTAAAAAAGTGGGACAAATTCTTTACAACCCTGGAGTGAAAAAAATAAAATAAAATAGCATATATAATATGCTATTCTGTGTATATTTACATTTGCTTTGCATATATTTAAAGAAACTCTAGAAGTCTACAAAAATGGAAAAGAGACTTTTCACTGAATACTTTTTAATCCTTCTTGGGATTTTAAACATGTAAATGCATTTACCTATTCCAAAAAAAATTTTTTTATGGTTTCAACGTTCATCACACTGAGAGCTTCAAAAATATTTCACATAAGGAAGTAGCAGGATCTAGATACTACAGATTATTAGTATCCTTGGTTTTACCCAGATTTAACGACCTTCAGCTATTAGTGTTTCTGGGAAGGCTGAACCAAAACATGAGTTTTAGACAGAGTAGACAAGAACCATCTCATGACTGAGACAATCTCAGTATTTCATCTCATGGAGTCAAAGAAGACTGCTGCCTACAAACTCTTCTGTTTAATTTCTAGCTAAACAACTCAGTAGTCACTGTATTAGTTCTCTCTGCTCCAGTAAAAAGACAGTTTTCTTTATGGTAATGACACAATCATCCTGTGTCTGATGAAAAGGGGTCTCAAAAATGAGCTAATCTCCAAGCTAACTACTGCAGAAAGCAGCAGCTTAGCACTAATTATACCAAAACTAAGGTTGTGTTTAGCAGGTGTTCACCTCTGAATAAATGGTCATCCTTTTAAAAAATAAAATAAAATCATTAAAACCACCCCTGAAGTATGTAGGGGAACACCTGCAGAAATAGCTTCAGAATGCAGTTTCTTACTAAATTTAAATGTTCTATAGAAAATACATGAAGGTCCTTTTATGGATTAACCCTGAACATACTCAGGTAATGTCATCTTGTCCAGGTTATAAGGAGCAGGGCTGCAGGATCTCAACCAAGTCATTGCGTAAGTGTATACTTGAGAAAATACCATGTCTAGGTATTTTTTTGAACTCTGAGAAATGTATCAGCTCTACTTACAGGTCCCCCACAATAATGTTTACACGGTTCTCAATCAAGCACTTGCCAAATATTCACAAACCCCCTTCTATTTGCAATGTAGCATCCAGTTTACTTTTCACTCAAAACTCTTAAATATGTTGTTTAAAAGATTCCCTAAAATTACAAAATATCCATCTCCAAAGCTAAAAAGTACATAAACCTGTGCAGAACAAGAATTCATGAACAATTCTCCTAATAACTGTATTTCCCTAAATAGATACACAAGGGCAAACTATTAACATAATTTTAAAGTGAAACAAAAAAGGAAATTTTCATTTTTCAAATCTTTCCTTTTAAAAATAGCCTCATAAATATATATTTTTTAATTGTTTCACTTTTGGGGGGGATTAGGTTTTTATTTATTTATTTATTTATTTATTTTAATGGAAGTGCTAGGAATTGAACCTAGGACCTCATGCACACTAAGCATGTGCTCTACCACTGAGCTATACCCTCCCCTCTTAAATATGTATTTTTAAATAATTAGGATCATACAGTATATGCCACTTTGCAATCCTTTTA